TCATATCATAATTAATCTAAATATATCATAACATATTTTCCAATAACCGCAATTCACTAAATACAGACATATAATTACTAACACATCAACATGTAAACAATACATAATTATAACATACCGAATCCCGATCTATCATGAGAAAACTAAACAAATTCATCTAAATTCATAACTAACTAACTAACATCTATCATATCATAATTAATCTAAATGTATCATAACATATTTTCCAATAACCGCAATTCACTAAATACAGACATATAATTACTAACACATCAACATGTAAACAATACATAATTATAACATATTGAATCCCGACGAGTTTCTTGAGCAGTAAACCAACTCCAAACCAGCTGAGAAAACGACCAAAAAAACACTAATTTTTTGTACTAAGGCAGCAGGAGGGAAGTGGGGGTCGGAATTTATAGGAAAAAATGGCAGCTAATCATCGCAGTGGACAATTGCAGTGAACACATCATCGCTTTTGTCCAAAGCGGTGATAGCTAGGTCGCTGTGACCTAATTTTCCACCTACCAAGGCTCTAAAACGTGGTCAATTATCACCGTTTTGGTCGACGGTGATGATGTGATCACCGTTTCGCACAACAGCGGTGAGGCAATCACCTTTTTGGACAGCAACGGTAATTATTTCCCCGTTGTTGTCCAAAGCGGTGATGTGTTCCCCGTTGTTGTCAAAAGCGGGGATACCTTCCCCGTTTTGGACTAAAGCGGTGATCTCAATCACTGTCGAAGACAAAGACAGTGATGTTGAAACTGCTGTATTTTGGGAAATAAGTTTATAAGTACTGTATTTAGGGAAATTTTTTTAATAATTAGAGTATTCTGAGATTTTTCCCCTTTTTTAAGCCCATCATTCAAATTTCTGACTCCATCACTCCATCACTGAGATGTAATTATTGCATTGGTATTGGTCTGTTTGGTAGTGAGAGTTGAGAGAGTAGCTTGTGATGTGACTAAAAAAAACCCCAAAATAGGTGAAAAGCAATTGTAGCCAATCAACTTCACATTGCATACTGATTCACAAGGGCATGGTTCAGAAGGAGGCTATCTAGCACATGAATTTTCACACGTTAATCATATGGTTCCACCAATATTAAGAACCATCCATGTTCCGGTCATCTACTCCCACGTACAATTTAAAGGTCTAACACCAACACCTACACCTACCCATAACCTAGGCGTACAAAGTTAATGCATGCATGCATGCCTGTTTGACAATGACACATCTAGGGTTAACTAGCAAGCAACATGACAGAAAATAGAATACATATAGATATAATGCATGGAAACTTTGTGTACAAATCATGGTTTAATTGTGATTTGGCCATTTCATGCCACAAAAAATTGCCGATCGATTTAGACTCGATAAGATATTTTTCCGATCGGACCATTGGTAGGTTCTCACAAACCCTCATATATATTATAAAAATGACCTTACATATGATGATATGAAGATATGGTGCGCGCGCTGTGGTGGTAGTGGTATCACGTCATGTAACGTACGATGAGAAAAGAAGTTTGTAAGATTGTGGGTGGATTGCCTCCTGGCTGGCTAATATGTAATCACAGGCTGTTGGTTACGTACTGTTTAATTATTTAAGTCGTTAATTAGCGTGTAGAAAGCAAATAAAATGGAATGGAATGGAATTCTCCACCTCTACACCTACCTTAATAATGCTGGCTGATCCAGTGCGTTGGTTCATTACTTCATTATGACCTCTCTTAACAACTCATCCCTTCCGGCCTACTACTTGATTTTCTGGAGGACCAAAGAAGCATTCAAGCTTAATTAATTGTTGCAAGCCTGCAGATATTTTTATTGGACAAAGCCAGCATATATTTGTTACGATGTGGTTGGATAATTAATCGAGCATGAACTTTTATAAGCAAGCAAATTATGACGCTAATAAGTACCAAGCCATTAGGAGAAATATAATCTACTGTAGGCGGCGAGCGATCGGAATCTGATTCGTCCGGCCTAGGTTGCTACGAGACGAGAGCTCTTGCGCTTTTCTTAAGGAAGAAATCTCGGACGAGGTTGGTTTGTTTTAGGGGTTTGTCGCTTCGTTCGAATGCCGAATTCTGTGATGCAAAGGGAAACCGGGGGTTTGATCTTCTAACGTAATCATTTGGTCCAACCGAACGTAGGATTCGGTACCACCAGTATAGGACGGAAGCTTGGGTTCGGTTGGACCCTAGCGACATTATATTGAAGCCGACTCATATCTTCTTCGTTTTAACTTCTTCTTTTTTTCACAGAGGGAACGAGTTCGTTGTACTCTACAAAATGAGACCCATTTTCAATATTTTTTTAGAAAAAAAAAATTTCTTACCTCTCGGTACCAACTGCATACCATATAGTATCTTCTTCGTTTTTAATTCGTTTTTGGAAACGTTTGTACAGAAGGAACGAGTTCATCATGATCTATTGGATCTACAAATTTTTGGGTGAACAAATTACAGGACCAAAAAATACAACACAATACCACCCTGGTACGGGGTGGTATCTTGTGGTACACAATGTTAAATGTCATAAATGACAGTTAATATACTTCTACTATCATGTATTCAACTATCCTACAACCTTGGTTTGTTCATACCATCATGGTACGCTTTTCAAACCATAGGTATGCTCTTATTTCAATACCAGTCAATACCATATGGTATAGACTAGTAAAAAATGGCTCAATTCTTTTTGTTCGAAAAATATTTCAAAGTGGATATTATTTTGAAGAGCACAATTAATCTGATCTAACTGTACAAAAAAATTACTTTTCGACTTAAAACGAGTGAGAAATCGTCTGTCAAAGATTAAGGAGGGGAAAATTAAAGGCTTACCAGAAGAGACAAAGATGCTCATGTCATGCTGATGTAGATGAGTTACTCATGATTACTCACCATAAGGTTACTGAACTGATCCGTTTCCAAAATTTTGGACCTAAATTATTAATTCTCGATATATATTTAATATATATACTTTAAATTTAATTTGAGAAGGTTTTATAAAATAGAAAAATATTAATGAAATCTATTGGACGATACCTACTTGAGTTATAAATAATAAAGTTTTTTTCTATGATTCTTTTGTCATATGAAAATAAAATAAAAATACTTCATAGTAGTTTACACAAAATAGGGTTATAGGTATAATATGCCCTCTACTATGACGTTTTATCAAACATGCCCCTCAACTGTGTTTTACATCAAACATGCCCCTGTACTTTGTAAAAATGATCAAACATGCCCTTTTGTTAAAAGTTTCATCCAAAAACCGTTAGCCAAGGCCGAACTTTAGTTTGGGCGACACAAATGACTAAAATATCCCTAATAAATTCACTTTAGAATTTTTTTTGGTTCTTTTGTATAATCAAATCATTCAAATAATTTCACTTTGAAAAGACTAAGGGAAATAAAACAGGGGACAAAACTGACATTTTCTCTCCCATTTGCCGATGTCGGGTCATCTAAATCTCAATTCAACCATGATTGACGATTTTTTCAATGGAAATTTTAACAGAAGGGCATGTTTGATAATTTTTTCAAAGTACAGGGGCATATTTTATGTAAAAAATAGTAGAGGGGCATGTTTGATAAAACGTCATAGTTGAGGGGCATATTATACCTATAACCCAATAAAACCTGTATCAATTGGTTATTTTTCATGAATTCTTCATTCTGTTATGCAAAATAATATAATGGAAATTTAAGTTCTATGTGCTATGGTTTGTTGTGTTTCTGACTCTGATTTCAGAACTAGATCGTACGTTGTACATGAAAAAAATTAGTGATTTAGGGTTCAGTGATAAATTGTTAGCTAACCGTTGATAGAGCCGTGCATAATATATAACATACATAACTTGTGTAATACACTAATTTAACAATGAAGTTATAATTGACCATAAACTATTTCAAATTCATATCATCACAAAAACATCTAACACATCATTCAAACCGTCTCACTAAAGAAATCATACTTTTTTAATTCAAGTTAAGAATTACGGTGTTAGTCGGTATGGGAACACGTAAATTCGATAATGAGGTTGGAAAATGAGAAGAGAAAGTATAAATAAAATTAATAATTCTATTTGATGGTCTTGGTTTATGTTAAAGGATCGTTTTTTAAATTGTGTTTAAAATAGTGAACCAGTAGAGTTTAACACTTGTTAAACTGTGGTGGTTCATCTGGTTTTATGTTGAACCATGAAAAACCGTTTGGTCCACGAATAACCGTTCAAGCAATGAACCGCTATCGTAAATGGTTTGAAGGTTCTACGGCCCAACTGTTGATCCATTCGATCCTTATAACAATGATTTATGGTATGTATTATGCGGTCTATTTTATAATACTTGCGTTGTGACGAGAAACGCGAAATTAATGACCAGGATCACATGCCTATGCCTCCATTAATTTGTAAACATGACAACTTTGAAATCCACACTGATATTAGCACCCTACTAACAAATCGATATTCATATTCCTAAAATAACATAGCCCACAATTATAACAAGACAATCCTCGTCCTTTATATCATACCGGCTAGAAGAAGAAAAACAAAAGTGATGAAAAGCAAAATTTTACTAGGCATGCGAATGGGACATGACCCCGAGCCGAGTTTGACACAACACAATCATTGGGCCAGCACATGCACACTCACTCCCCGTTGTCATAATTCGTGGGGTCCCTTAAAGGACGATAACCCAGAAAACAAAGAAACGGAAAAAGGGCCAAAGTAAAAATAAAAGGGAGCGCAAAACGGGCGATTGTTCCAACTCCGCAAAAATATACTTTCTCTCTCTCTCTCTCTGCCATGCTGGCATCCAGCCTTGCACAACCCGCCCAACGGCACTCACTCCAATAATAACTGACCGTTAGTGGGCCCCTCTCCCTCCCTTCCCTTCCCTTGCTTTCTCTCGTTTTCTCCTCCCCCTCTTCGATACCAATTAAGATTATATAACCGTTACCATTCTCCCCCTTTCTGTTTCCTCATCAACCCAAAACCCTACCAAGCCTCCTCCTCCTCCTCCTCCGATTATCCACTACATTTTCCGGTGAGTTTTTCCCTTTATATGACTGCTCCTTCATCGTAGTTTCATTGTGTGTCTTCGTTTCTTAACTGGGGATCCATATCTTTTTTTCTTTCTAGGCTGCTTTTGTCGTGTGTTGAATTCCAGCTGCTTAGCTACGAAAGGGTTGTGAAAATGACTGTGGAGGTTATTAAAGCAGAAGCAGTGACGACTTCAACTCCAGCGGTTGTGGCTCCCGAGGATCCGATGAAGGCGGCTGTGGTGGAAGAGACCGAGAAGGCGGCGGCTGCTGCCGTGGAAGAGACCGAGAAGGTGGCGAAAAGCTCCTCCTACAGAGAAGAGAGCAACTTCGTCTCCGATCTCAAGGAGTTCGAGAAGAAGGCGTTGACCGACTTCAAGGCCAAGCTGGAAGACGCCATCCTCGGCAACACTCTGCTCCAAACCGAGAAGCCCAAGAAGGAGGTCAAGGAGACCAAAGAAAAGAAGAAGAAGGAGAAGGAAGAAGCCCCTCCCTCCGCCGAGAAAGAAAAGGAGACGGAGCAGACCGTCAAGGTGGAAGGAGAAGAAGCCACCAAAGAGGAAGCTCTTGCCACCGCAGAAGAAGAGAAGAAAGAGGAAGAAGCGCCTGCTGCTGAAGAACCAAAAACAGAGGAACCCCCTGCTGCTGAAGAGCCAAAAACAGAGGAAGCCGCCCCCGCTGCCGAGGAGGTGAAACCAGAGGGAGATGCTGATGAGAATGAAAAGATTATCCAGGAATGCGAAGCTGAGAAGAAGGAAGAAATCGCTGCCGATGCTGTTGCCGTCCCTGTCGCGGAAGAAAAGACTGAGGAAGCTGAAACCGAAGCCACCCCCGTGGTGGTGGAGGTGGTGGACAGGGAAATTTCTCTGTGGGGAGTTCCTCTGCTTCCGAGCAAAGGAGAGGAAGGAACCGACGTCGTGCTGCTGAAATTCCTCCGAGCCAGAGAGTTCAAGGTCAACGAAGCTTTCGAGATGCTGAAGAAGACCCTGCTGTGGAGGAAGGAGAACAACATCGATTCCATCCTGGAAGAGGATTTGGGCGAGGATCTTGCCGCCGCCTTCTTCACCAACGGCGTCGACCGCGAGGGCCACCCCATCTCGTACAACGCCTACGGGGTTTTCGAGAACCAGGAGCTCTACGCCAAGGCGTTTGGGGACGAAGAGAAGAGGAAGCATTTCCTCAGGTGGAGGATCCAGCAGCTGGAGAAGGAGGTTCAGAAGCTTCAACTCAAGCCCGGCTGCGTCACTTCTCTGCTTCAGATCAGCGATCTCAAGAACTCTCCATCGCCGTCCAAGAAGGAGCTTCGCGTCGCCATGAAGCAGGCTGTCGGGATTCTGCAGGACAATTACCCTGAATTGGTCGCCAGAAACGTGAGTTCCCCCCCCCCCCCCCCCAAAATTTTGCTTGTGCTCTGTTTTTCAGGACTCTGTTTTTTAATGATATTTCATTAATGGCGGATTGATTTGATTGATAATGATTTGCAGATATTCATCAATGTGCCCTTCTGGTACTACGCTTTCAACGCACTCCTTTCCCCATTCCTGACCCAACGCACCAGGAGCAAGATCGTCGTTGCTCGCCCCGCCAAGACCACCGAAACCCTGCTCAAGTAAAGCCCTAATCTTTCCAACTATCTTTCACATTGGTCTAATCTATAGACCATAGAACTTCAATCTCACAACAATCTATGACATTTCCTCAATAGGTACATCGCGGTGGAAGAAATCCCAGCGAAGTTCGGTGGGTTCAAGAGGGAGAACGATTACGAGTTCGGGGGAGAGAGTGAAGTGGCCGAAGTGTTTGTGAAGGCCGGATCAAGCGAGAGCATCGAGATCCCGGCGACGGAGGTGGGAGGAACATTGCTGTGGGACGCGACTGTCGTCGGAGGGGAAGTGAGCTACAAGGAAGAGTTCGTGCCGACGGATGCAGGGTCGTACACCATCATCATCCAGAAGGGGAAGAAGGTGGCCGCCGGCGACGAGCCAATCCGCAACACTTTCAGGAACAACGAGCCTGGGAAAGTCGTGCTCACCGTCGACAACTGCTCCGGCAAGAAGAAGATGGTTTTGTACAGGTACAAGACCAAGAAGACTGCTGCTTAAGTTGAGTTTGGCTTGAAGAGAAAAGGAAAAAGGGATAAAGATACCAACAAATGTTTCTTCTTTGTGCATCCATAGACAATCATAATTTTCCTTCTTTCATTTTCATGGGGGGTTTTACCGTTTATATATTGGGATATATATTATCATTCTTTTGGGGGTTGCAGCAGCAATTCAATTTGTGAATCTGTGAATGTGTGGTTTTTTTACTTTGTATGTTCTGCGGGGTTGTTGCAAAGTTCTTTGTTGAGAGAGTTGAAAAGAAAGATTGAATTTTTAACAAGCTTCATATTATCGTTTCTCGTCACTAAATAGGCATTCTATTACGAGCAGAACGCTCGCTTCTACATTGTCCAACAAAACTTTGCACCCTTCTCCAAACACGACAACATCCCTCCGCACTAACAACTCAACCAGAATAGGATTCACTAAAACGTCATAAAGAGGACCGCCATAGCCAAATCGCCAAGAACGCAGGCCCAAGATTGATTTTTTCCTTGGATTTGTGTAAAGATAAAATAGTGAGATGTCCTTACGGAATGTGCAAACTGGCAATGGCATTATGCGCTGCCGTTACGTTTGAGTTTAATCATCCTGACAGCAAACATGGTTAGCCAGTCTTTAATAAAGGAAAACCGATTATGTTCTTGGACAGCTTTCTAAGACTTATAAGGAGCGAAAAAGCCAACTCGCCAGCTAGGCTGGCTTACTAGGTTCTGCATTTGTATTTTTGCCCGTTTGCGCATCATTTGGTTAGATGATTCTTAGTCGAGATAAAAGTAACGTTTTGTTTGATCATGTACTTAATGTAGGGTTTGTTTGGGTTTGGTGATAGTTTGGTTGAGATAGTTATAATGCATGTATTGTCCACAATGCATCGTTTTTCTGAATTTTCTGCACAAACAATACATGCATTTTTTGCTTGATTTGACACAAACTATCACTCAAAATGGAAGTTGAGATTCTTCAAATATGTGTATTTGATGAATACATGTATTGTAAATACAAAGATTGTAAGAATTAGATGATTGGAAGAATGTCTTGTTTGTTTGTAGTCATTCAAAATTTTGAAGAAAAGGTAAAAAAAAATCACTTTATGAGCTAAAAGTGGAACAAATTAAAGCTCACGATCTCAAAGGAAGAATCTCACATTTTTGCTGAGATTTAAAATGAGTGATTGTGGGTGATATGAGATTTGAGGGCCCACCTCAAATGCATATATTGAATAAAATTTTGGAACAATAAAACGATGAATTCTCCAAAATACATGAATTCAAAGAATCTTTCATCTAGAATCATAACTTTCAAACAAATCTCAAGTTTTGGGTGAGATTGTTGAGATTGTTTGGTTTTGTTTTTGTTCTAACTATGACCCTACTTTCTTATATGTGTTGCTTTTTTATATTAAATACAAAGGGTAAAAAGTGGCATTTCACTCAAAAAGTAATCTAACTTATTTAGAATTATAATAACTATCACATAAACCAAAAGATTGTAAACTACAATACATCAATATATATATATTGGCAGTTCTAGGGTGCCCAGGGCAAAATTCGGGGTACGGAAGACCGGGGGCAAGGAAAATTACCAAAAGTATCACGAAGTGTTAAAGCTTTTTTCATTGGACTTCAACCTAACTGTACCCGGTTTAATTATATCGATTAAGAGGTTAAACCCTATGGATACGACCCGCCGCCCTAACCAATTTCCAGTCTCCCTTCTACGATCCCTCATTCGTCTTGGAGGGTCCCCTCTTAGTTCGAAGTTCGATCATAAGCTACCTATCAAATCTGAAATCTCCAACAAAATCATCGTTTCGAAACCCAAATCCTTTTATTATTATATCCACATTCGATTGAGCTCCCTATCCAATCTCAAATCCCCAACATCATCATGTTTCATACCCCAAATCTATGTATCCACATTCGAAGAGAAGATCCCCATCCAATATGAAATCCTCACATATCATCGTTTTGAACCCCAAATCCTTGTATCCACAAATCGACGTTTTGTTCCTCGCCATTTTATTTCCGGGCAGAATTTAATCACCTATCTCTTTCTAACACGATTACGGCGACCATGTCTATTATTGTGTTTATCAAACTTTTCATTTGCAAAAGAACCCTTGAAATAGGTTTGCTAACCCTAGGGTTCATGTCGCTAGTGCTTTGTCATCTTGTCTTAGCGTTATTATCATTTGCAAAATAACTTCTATCCCTCAGTAAAATTAAGGTTTCCTGATATGTAGTGTTTGTCTCGCCCAGAGGATTGAGGAAGAAGATGAAGAAGACAAAATTTGATTCGAATCGGATGGAGAGGTCTCCTTAATTTGTGTTTATGTACTAACGGTGCGTTTAGGACTAATTCAGTTGGACTGGGTCTGATCATTGATTTTTGCAAGCTTCTAAATAACATTCAAAAGTGGCCTTGTACATGACCCATGACACCTAGTTTGTTGATAATAGATAACGAGTTCCGGATTGTCATTAGGTTGGTCCTTTGATAATTGTCTATCTCAGTGGCGGTTCTTTGTTTTACTTGATTTTATATTTTATTTTCATCTGCTTTTGCTTCTAAAATCCTGATCATGCCTTGAGTTCTCGCAATTTAAACATAATTATGCGTTCCATCTTTTTTTGGGATTTGGTAAATGCTAGTGTGTCTCTTTACACATTTAGCGGTACGAGGTAAACTACAATCCGCCCAATTTAACTCTTCATTAATTGGCCCTATTCCACTCTCTCATTGATTGCCCCTCTTTATGCAATGCACTCGTACATAACAAACCTCTTGTAGACTAATTAGAGGCTTGTGGTTGGATACTGAGTGAAGATATTTTTTTTAATTCATCTTTTGAAACGAAAGTTAAAATTTCACTTTTGAAGTACCTATGTACTTTTGTTGGGAAAGTATTTTCAAAATGTAGAATTTTATCAGCGTATAGGTATACGATTGTTGTATAAGGTGTTGATGTTAAAGGAAATGGGTACTGACTACTTAGGGTATTAGGTTGTTCATGGTATAGAGTATATGGTATATGAGTAGGTTATAAGGTGTTGATGGTTTAGAGCATATGGTATTGATTGGTTTAGGGTGAGGGTAGGTGTTGTTTTAATTTTTTCCCAATTTTATATTTTCTTTATATCTGCTTATAAATGTTGATCATGTCTTATTACTAATAAAACATCGACATAATTATTGTAGCATGACACATTTATCGGTACGAGATAAAATGATTTGGTGTGTGCAAGGTAGGTTCCTATTAACTATTTTGCCTCGTTGGTTATCCTTGTTGGTGATCCCGACCATGAGCGATTCGCCACATATGGAATAAAAATTAGTTAGAGTTATTAAGTTCATCTTTCTTCATTTATTCTTTGATTTGAACCTGCATGTTTTTGCTCCGAAAGATTTTGTAGTGGCGTGGTAAAGACTATTCGTCCAATTTAACTCTTCATTAATTCCCCCTTTTCCACTGTCTCACTACCCCACGAAGCAGAAACAATCCACTATGATATATTTACCATTCATTTTAACCCTTCACTTAATAAGAAAGCGAAATTTCACATGATTATAAATTTCATGTAGCTTAATTGGTTAATTGTCCTTTAGTTGCTGAGTTACTAAAGTAGAGGTTTGTGGTTCGATACTTAGCAACTATCAATTTTTAATTTATGTTTTGAACAGAAAGTTAGAATTTCAATTTTGAAGTACCTATGTACTTTAGTTGGGCAAGAAAAGTTAATAAACAATAAAATAGAAAAAGAAAATAGTTATCTAAGTAGCATTGCTAGAAGAATTCCTAATTTAGCAATCTTGCTAGTTTAGAAAGAACTCCTCCATCCCTAAATCATTGCTAAGTTTTTGCCATCTAAGCTCCAAATCATCTTTACCAATTGCTAAAAGTTGGGGATGGAGATGGTGACAATCAATAAGCAATTTCTAAAGTGGGCCCTTATCGCCCTTAGGGTTTAGGGTTACAATAACATATACCAAATCAGTAGATTAATTTTGCTAAACGAAAAAGTTAGTTAACCTACAAAGCCAGTCTAAAAGCACATCCCCATCTCCCACCATCAATTCATAAAATCTTCCTTTAATCCGACGGTGAAAGAGCTTCAATCCTTGTCGCGGCGTGTTACTCAATCAGATTTCGCCGTTTTCGGAAAGTCGCATTTGCCCATAACCAGTGCTGGCGTTACCAAGGCCGAGGCAACGGTAGGGAGTGTGATTTTCAGTCAATGGGAAGGGCTGGAAAGGCAAAGTAATTTTATGAGTCCATTTATAAATTCTTTAATCGGAGAAGGAGAGACCGTGCTCCGAAACCCGAGAGGCACTCATCTCCTGCTATTGTTCGTTCCTCCTCCTCTCAATCCCTGAAAAGACCCCTTTCTCTCATTTTCTTGATATGAAACTCTGAAAATCAACCCCATCCGCCTCTTCGTGCTCCTGTTCCATGCTTTATTTTCGGGTGTAGTCGTAATGATGAGACTGCGTATTATTTTAGATGTCAGTTCCTTTCATTATGTCATTGTTAGATCATGACTGTTAAACTAACTCCTTCGTTTTATTGTTTCTTCTTTTCTCTCCATACAGGGTCTTTGTTAGAGGCACGGAGGCGAGCAATGACAATAAGTCGCTGTCTGAATATTGCCGAAAAAATCATCATATGTTGTTACGATTCCATAATAGGTGTTGTGGAACCCTACGTCATATGATGGTTTTTTTGTGCGATATTGACGCATACATATTGATCATGCTCCGAAAATATATACAAGAGGGGGAAAGTTGCTATATGTATAGTATAAAAGTGGGAGGAGGGAAAGTACATTGCTTTGTTTTTCAAGATTTGTACTTTTAGTGTTTGAGATCTTAATAATATATCAGTGAGGGATCTTTCACTCAATAAAAGTACTGTAGTTTATTTCTTGATTACTGACTGCCGCATGCTCTTGTCATTTAACGCATAAATAATAAAGTGAAATGTTGCACATGATTCATTTAGGGAGCAGCCTCCATATCGAATTAAATCAAATCCATCGGAACTAAATAAAACGACACCGTAGAAGGCAGTAGTCTTCTTATAAACCAACGAGACATAAATAAAACGACACCGCATAAACCAACAGTCTTCTTATAAACCAAAGAGACACATAAATAAAACGACACCGCAGAAGGCATCAGTCTTCTTATAAACCAAACGACGTCGCTTCAAGCTGACAGTGGCATTCTTCACATAATCTTGATCCGAATAGGATAAGGACTTCCATCTTCACTTCA